AAGCTGTAACAGGCCAAAATAGCGTAACACTGAAATGACAGAATCAGTCCTCCCCCTCATGACTGTCCACAAGAATCTGGAAGTTAGAATTTATTGCCTACGTAAGAAAGGAAGGGGAGATAAATCATCAATTAAACTTCTGCTTGTGGTTTCCTTCACGGCTCCAGACTTTAAAAAAAAAAAAATTATTCAACTCAGTTTGCATCAGGAAGGAAGGTCAGAAGTGGAGCACAGAAAATAAGCATGTGCAGAAATTTGAATTTGAAAGGGAGAAAGTGATTCAGAACCTGCACTGGTGTCGTGTTCTCTTTAAAGCTGCCACCTGAGCTCAAGAAAAGAAACCTCCTTTAGGAATTGCAGGCAGGTACAATAAGTTTACCTGTGCATGCTCTGAGTCACTTCTTTCCTTCGATCTAGACTTCAGTCAGGAGTCTAGATATAAAGAAGTAGATTCTGCAATCAGGCTTGCCCCATTCCTGCTGCCGTATCATGACTGGTGGGTATTTTTCCCACTGATATTTGATAAAATGAAGAGGGAAGGCAGCAAAGCCGGAGGACTCAACCAACTGCTTTGCCTGTCAGGAAGTGCACACAAAAAATCAGAACAGAACCATTCAAAACTGAATCGGAAGAGGGCATGTTAGAGATTGGTCAAAGGGGCAATAAAATGTCGTGCTGGTATAGTTTTCTGCCAACTCAAATATGGGTAGATAGCACTTCAAATCAGTAGTGGGGAAAGGCCCATGTTCTCCCTGACAAACTACCATAAGCATTCTTAACTCTCCTGATTAATAGAAGTTTAAAGATAACATCAACACCACAGCACCACCACCACCACAGAAAAATTAATCTGCCCCCAGGGAATAGTGCATCACAAGGAACAATAATACAAGGGCGCAGAAAACCAGAAAATATGATGATAGATTGATTGATCTCTATCATCCATCCATCCATCCCTCCATCCCTCCATCCGTCCGTCCATCCCTCCATCCATCATCTATCTATCGATATATATATATATAGTACCAAAAGTCAGGCCACATAGATAGTTTCTTATATAAAATACATTCAATGTTCGAATTAGTTGTCATTTTCTTCTAAAAATTTCCTTACTCACTTTGATGCATGATCTTTGAACATTCCTAAGTACAGTAACATTTTCTCTGAAAAAAATAAAATTAATACAACATATCATGTTTGGCTATGGAGGTCTGACTTTTGATACACTTTGTGCACACGTGTGTATGGGTGTATACACACCCACACATATTTCAGTATTTCCTTCCAATAAATAACCTTTCTAACAGGTAAAGAATCTGTATGTTTATCTTTATTGTGCTGCATGATTATCCTGCAATAGCTTAAACCACATTTGCACAAGATGTTAGAAACAGATTTGTAAATGTTTGGCTTCATTCATTATGCTTTTATTTTAGTTCTTTCTCATTTTTTATGCAACGGGGTGGTTGAAGACTGGAAGAGTCACCGTAATAAGTGCTCCCAAAGTGCAGGAATTAGCAGGACAAAGGTCTCTGTGATCTGTTGGAATTTTGTCACAAGTGTACGATGGACAGATTCTATGGGAAAATATGTGGATGAAAGGTTTAAAATTTACACTGTGTTGTA